CTCTGCACAGGTTTTACTACTGCTTACAGCAGACCTTATTTATATAAGCACTGCTTTTATGGTTAGTACGACTTCCGCGGATGCAAAAAGCAGCAAAATATTTGTGAAAAGGATGAAATAAAACCATTTCCAATACTCTTCACCTCTTTCAATGTCTATGAACTGATCAAAGGAAGCCTGAGCAACTGATGGCCAAGGTACTAAACTGTGAGGACATTCTACAGTCGATACGCTCCAAAAACGCAACAGAACAGACTTGTAGAACATATTTCTAGACATCGTCACCATCTGCGCTTCAGGAGTTTTTAAAGTGTCCTCTTTTTCCTATATAATGGAATTAACTGAAGTTGCTTTTTACATTTTGCCTAATACCAAACAATAAAACAGATGTGTCAAAAAAAATCAAATGGTCACCAATAGTGCGTCTGTACACTAAGAAATTTCATGTTCCTGTACATAATTGAGCTGCCATACATTTCCCATTTCCTTCAAATTTGTGAGCTTTAAGAACAACAGAAAGAAGAAAACATCTTCCTTTTTTGTTGTACTGGCTTGTGACAGTAAATAGCAAGATGGATCAAGATATTAAAAATTATGAAAGCTGGAACACAGCAGCCACGTTTTTATGAGCTCTGTTTATGAAGTACTATGAAGACACTAATAAACAGTTACTCAAGAGTTTCTCATCATTATGAAGTTTAGACACTCCTTATAACCACCTATCACACTGTATCCATACAACTACACGTAACTACATCCAGTGGTGTCTCTCACTCACCACACGTACTGTATAACACTTGCACAGCACCTGTTTAACTCTGAAGAGTTATTACTTCAAGGAAACCTTAGTAACTATGAAAAAATTTAATTACTGAAGTCTGATTACAGCGTTAATAAGGTACTGTAAAAAAGTGCAAAATGAGGGCAACAGTCTTAAAGTTTCTGTGAAGGTAAAGTCAAAGCAAAAGCAGCAACACCAAGCTCCTGGGAGTGGAAACACCCAGCCCCGCGTAAGAACAGCCAGGCGGACATTACGAGTACACCAGTCTTTGTGTACATTCGTGCAGCTCACACCGTTACCGGTAACGAAAGGCAGAACCAGCAAACCAGGAGAGTCATCTTACCATTTGTTTGTGATTTTCCTCGGTGCTGTCCCGAATCAGAGCAGTGTAGCAGTGTGCCTGGCTGGGCAGATGAGTTATCTGAAGAAACACATTTTGTGACAACTGATTTTTCAGGAGAAAACTCCTGCGAAACATCTGTGTTTTCTTCACTGCCAGAGTAGTCTGTAAAATTATGAGTGTTATTATTAGAAAACGATGGTCAAGAGAAGTTGACAGAAGAATAAACAGCACCACGTATGTCCATGGCAGGCACGTATAATTCACCGAGAGAGTGTCCAATATGCTAGGACTCCAGGACCCCACTCTGCTGATCTGCAAGCTTTCTAGAGGCAAGAAAATTATTGTCTGAACCAGAAAATCTTATGCAGCTCCGTCATCCTTCACTGCTGACATGAGAAAGGCTGAAAAGACTGATTAAAGCTAACTATTCTTCGGGGTGAGTACGTCTACGAATGCTGCTGTATTGCAGGCACTTCTACACACGCACTGTTCATTAGCTGGAGACCTCTCCCTCACACCCCACTGTTATGGGCTACACACATTCCCTAATCTCACATGCAGCAAAGCGGACAGAAGGCATCTCCTCTCTTGTTTTCCAAGCGTATTTATGGAATAGGATGCACTGGGGGCAAAAGAAAAGCCCCGATTAGGAACACTTGGAGAAAACACCGAGAGCAGTTCCTCTGTGCAGTCGCCCTTCGTCCCGCCCTGGACGGTGAACAAACCGAGGCGCTCCGCAGCTACCACCAGTACCCTCCAGTCAGTTCCCTGGCAAAAACCTTCAGAGTTCCAGGACTGAGGTACTGCAAGGGCAAGATCAAAAAAAGGTAAGCAGCATTTTAAATCCCAAGGGTGGATGGACAAGCAGTTTGCGGGTACTATTTGTGCAACTGTTGCAGAAGTTCACAAAATACGCTTTGCATATTATCATTATACTTGAGGGCACCACAGAATCAGGGACTCACTGAAATAATTTGTTTCAGTACAATTCTGAGTCAGACTGCCTGTGGTTCATTTTTCCCCTCTACTGTCTCATGACAACTTGCCCTACTTCTTCACGGCAGCAAACAAAAAGATACCGTATTTTTCTTCCCATATCAGGAACTCCTCCACAAGAAGCTCTAGTTTAACAAATTATGCACACCAGATTGAGATGTGGGCTGTATTAATAATCCTAGACATCCATCAATGGCAGAGAAACTTCCCATGCCGGATCTACAAACATTTCACTCAAGAAATCTTTCAGAATCAACTGTGATCTTGAGAAGTGAAGAACCCAATCACCAGTAACACCTGGCCTACGTATGAAGTTCCAAGTGTCAAGGGGCCCGAGGAAAGCATTCCCAAGCCTCTGCAGGGGAAATCAGCAACGACGACATGTTCCTACTACAACCCTGTTAACGCAGGAGGAACAGCATGTTGTGAGACATGACGGAAAGACACTGCATGAGCACAGACTTTAAATCAAGCTTTTACTTCATCTCCCCAGGAGAGGAGAGGTTTATCCTTCTTTAGGAAAAAAAATCAGGATGAGACAGGTTTAATACAGCTCAGCATGGGATTTCAGAGACTGTGACAAAGCGAAGACTTAAGTAGTAACACGGTTAATGCCAGAAAAAGAGGACCCATCAACATTTCCAAACTCCATCATTCATACAGGACCCCCAAAACTAACTCTCAGAACATCTGGTACATGGGGTACTCCGTAACAGACCAAGGGGATCTGCACCCTCTTCAACTGTGTAAAACTTGCATACAAGGACACCGGCTCATGAAAAAACAGACTTAAAGACTGACAAATCCATTTTTGAGTTAGATTTATTCTGTGCCATTACAAGCCCTACTATAAGCCATCATCCAGCATTACTGACGCACCTCAACCATAATCTTGCCAATCACAATTTAATATTAACCACTTAATAAAATCAGAACTAACAGATTAATGAAGACAGCAGTCTGATCTGCAATGCCCACTCTTAAAGAGCATGGAACTGGGTAAAAGGCAGAACAAAATAACGAAGCCGTTTTTCCCCTACAGAAGAAAAATAGAGCTTTACCCGGCTTAGGTCTCTTTTTCTTTTTTTTCTTTTTCTTTGACTTGGACCTTCCATAGTTTTTGGATTTTCTTTCTTTGTTCTTCTCATGTTCTTTAGCAGCTGAAATTAGACAACATTCCAGTTTAATTTTTAAGATACACCCACACCTAGTCTACTTATTAATTTTCTTAAAGACCTCCACAGTTTCTTTGGACAATCAGGGCCAGCTCACTGCAAAAAACAACAAGAAAATTTATTTGTAAGAATTCCCAGCTCTCATAATTTGAATGGCCTGGTTTAAGTTCTAGTTTGATTGTCCCACAACAAAACGACAACACCACATGGGAGAAGTCAACTGTACACTGGTGCCTATTTACTACTTATGTGCTTCAGAGATTATTAAAAAAGAAAACACTGGGTGATTTGCTCTATCAATTTTCTAAATGTCTGAACATTTCAGTAGCGCTGTGACTGAAGGCTGACAAGAACAAAATCCCAACACCCCAAGCTCCAGTACAGCTCCTCGGTCAAATATTTTGTTTTCACTGAAAATGGAGTAACAAGTGGTTCAGGTGGCTTTAACTGCCATTCTCTCACCATCTGTTCGCCATCCTGTTTTTATGGGAACAAAAAAACCACCATCATTTTTCAATGACTGGGTGATATCTTTCAGTCAATTCCATCCTCCAAGGCTGCCTCCAGAGCACTTGCCATGAAATCTAACCCTGCTGCAAGGTCGTGTGCACAAACCATCGCTTTCCGTATCCCAGCACTTGTTTACAACTCCTTGTCTTTCAGATCTAGGTCTCTGCAGCAGAATTCCTAGATACTTATACAGTTCCTTAAGTAAATTATCCTGACTCAGCTGAGACTATAGGTAAAACGATAAAAATCTATTTTGGAAGGATGCCTCCCACCTCAAAGGCTCTCAGAGTGCTTAGCTGATTGAGCCACTCGCCATCCCATTTAGAAACCTACTTCAATTTCTGATCACTGATATCAGAATAAGCAGCTAAAGATGCTCTATACTCTACAAAGTCTTCTACACAAAACATTTAGTAACCCTAGCTGGCCTGTAACCACTTGCAAAGCAAGAGGGCAATACCAGTGCACTACGTTAACCTCTTCCCTACAGGCTGACGGTGAACTCCCCAATTCACAGCCAAAGGCTACGCATTTCTGGTACCAACAGCTCGCTCTGCGAAACTGGAAATCCCAGCCACATTTCACCAGCTGTAAGGAGCACGCAGGAGACATCTCATTAGCTCCGTCTCATGAGAGCCTTCGGCTCCGCAGCTCCCCGACCTCTTAGTCCCTGAGCATCTCGTGCTACTTTGCCACTTGCGTCCCTCTTCTGGCCTGTCATTAGTGACGGCTGCTGAAACCGTGCATCGCCAGCAGCCACATCAGCTGCTGGCACTGGTGGCAGCCTGCCACAGCAATTACGTGTCCTTCACAGGGAACATGACCAGCAGCACAAAAGACAAACTTCACCCTCCTTCCATCACCATTTGTTGAGAGGGATAAAAGAACAACAGAAAAAGACATTCATACTTCAGTCTCAGCACAGAGCTTCCAACTTCCTTTTCGCTTTCCTTTGTTCTCATCTCCTAGCCCTCCAGTGGTCAGGATCCTCTGGGGACCATTCTCTTCTCCCTGCTCATACACAGGGATGCAAGTAAAGTTCTGCCATTTTATTCTTCCATAAGGGCAAAGAGCGAGTAACCAAGGTCCACATAAGTAGGAAAATTTTGCATCTTTTCACTCAGGAATTGAAATTTGCATGGTCAGATTGTCTGATCTGAAGATATCCAAGAGCTCAGAGTATGCTACTTTAAATATGACAAAAAAATTGTCACTTTGTTCCACACTTTTTCCCCTTGAGTTGCTAGTATGTCTTTAAAAAAATCTAAAAAAGTCCAAATATTTGCAAATTTCTGTGTACAGCTATCTTCTCAGCTGCACAACTTAATGATTTTTTTTCCCTATAAAAACCTGCAAAGAATGAGTATTATAAAAGGGACCTTCCAAAAACCCTGTACTGAAGAATCTTTTTGTCTCAAGTTGTTTCTTGCAAGCGCTCTGAAGTCTAACGAATTCTCACTGAAGCATCCTCATAGATTCATGTGATCAAAGTGAAATGGAAACTGTCTTCTATAATCCGACAAATTCATCACACAACCACCACATTTTTAATAACGATTTTTGGCAAAAACTTAAGAAGACCTAAGCCCTCTCATTTTCCCCAAGGAGCACGACGAGCACTCTGTCACATCCCCCACCACCACTCCAAGGGTTTATTCTAACCACTGTCTGCCACACTCTCCGATGAGAAGCGTCCCACCCAGCCAGCCCCATGAAGAGACACCAGTGGATCCATCCAGGCCCTCCTGCAAGGGAAGGCAGTGAAGGATGCCCAAGAGTAAACAGAGGTGGTAAGTACTGACCGACTGCTATGACCAATAGAACAAACCAGTGACAGGCAAGTAAGGCGACCTTCTCAAGACCACCCCAGAACAAAGATGACCTGTTACAGCTGGAACAGGCTCAGCACGGAATTTTTTGTATTTTCCTCACCACAAATTCTCACTCCATATCTGAAGGAAAGTGGTGATGTAGTAAACCAGGAAATATGCTGGAAATTATTTACATATTATTGATGTATATATAAAAATATATTTAAACATATGCTATTTTTATGTGTGTGTCTGAGTACACACACCCCCCGTCCCCTGCATGGCTGTTACCCACCTATATCATAGCAGATTCCAGTACAAACAGTTTACACTATACCACTGAACAGTCGAAGTCGTGAAGTTGTTCAGAGACGTTTAGTAGCAAGGGATGTTGACTACCAGAAGTAGTCACATGCTATTGAAAAAAATGACAAAAGAACAAACTAGGTTGTTCTGCTACCCGCCCGCCCCCCTTTTTTTTTCCTGTATTAAGTTTACGTATCTCAACAAGTTCATAAAATATTTAATGCTTTGGACAACCAAAAGTTCAACTGAATCAAGACACATGTATCAAACAAGCAAAAAGCAAGCAAGAATCTTTTCATGCCTTTAAATACTTTAGTACTTTTCACATCTTAAAAATATTACACATTGACTGAGAAGATTACACCCCAATGTGTATAGCAAGGAAACGTATAAAATTCCCTATATTGATTCTTCATTTGAAACTACTGCAAAGAAACAGTGAAAAACACACCACACTTTATACTGTATATTCATAAAAAAAGGAAACTCTCTAAAAAGAAGGTATACAGAATACGTTGTCAAAATTATCAGTTCCTTACAATGCTTAAAACTTTCCCAAGACTTCTCCAAGTTTAACTTTTTCATGCTAAACTAAGAAGGCGTACCATTTTCAACTCTTTGTTTTTCTTGAGGCTTCCGCAGCGATCTCGCTACGTGGCTCTTGGTTTGTTCTCTAACAGAATGTCGGTGACTATTTAATGCACTTACAGGAGTTGAAGTTCTTCTCTTTTCTATTTTTTCATCTCTATATGGGGTACTCCTTAGGGCTATGTGTAGAGGAGCATCTACAAAGAGAATAAATACGAAGTCCAAGCTTTAAATACTTTCAACACGTCAGTCTACTTCCCCAACAGCAGCTCTGGCAGTCCATGTGCAGCACTCCTGATCAGACACACTGCTCAACTCACAGTCCTAGCAACCCGACTGCGGAACAGCTTTTGAACAGAAGCTGACTTAAAGGCTAGAGACTGTAATGCTTTAGTAGTTTGGATTGGGTTTTTTTTTTTTCCCCCTAAAAAGAAACAGTGGATGCAAATGTGTTCCCCAAAGCGTTTTTCTTCCAGAAATACTGCAGCTTTGAACAAAGACAGAAAGAGAAACAGTTCAGTTTGGCAGAGATGTTGTGGGTCAGGTAATTTTTATTCTTAGTTTCTTTACGAGAAAAGGGGCCCTGTTTGTTTCGTTGCTCTACAACCACAGCCTGTCCTCAAAAGCGTGCTTCTTAATGAGGCATCTAGAAGTGACATAGAGAAGCTCTGCACATTTAGGAAATCAGTTTTTAAATACATACCACTGAAACAGTGTTTCCAGTGAGTGTCAAATGCAAGAATTCAGGATCACTACCTAAATTCACAAAAATTATGATACAGACATGGCTTCATCTGAGATTAAGTCAAATAGTTCTCATCTTCCTAACTACAGCTAGCAACTCCCACTGAAAGACTCCTGGACATAGAAAAAGGCAAGCAAAGGTGGTAAAAGCTAAGGCTGCGTGGCACATAGGCCAGCCAGACTATACAAGACAAATACACTGCCATTTTGGAGTACGACATCAAGCGTCTTGGTCAACAAGCCCCAGTAGCCAAGGTGACAGCTTGCTGAATTCCATCAAGAATGTCCAATTCTATCATTACAAGCATCTGAAAAGTTCCGTGGATACAAAAGGCAACTTCCTTCTTGTCTGAAGGCTTACACGCCAGCTGGACTTCCATTTGGACACCTCTAACTAAATAATTGTGAGCAGCACCTGAAAATGACTGAAAACAGAAGAGCCCAAGGTACTTCGGAGAAGAAATGGGATCAAGCACTCTGCCCTGACCAACACTTCCAAGTTGAAGCTGTTAACAAGGCACATTAAAACATGTCATTACAGAGCTTTCACAATCAAACAGATCTCTTCAGGCAAAAGAAACTCCAAGATCCAGAAATCTGAAGGCCATCAGATGACTTTTTCCCTGGTTCTCTCACTCTGAAGTTGCATTAGAATTCAGGGGGAGCAGGGAGAAAAGGAGCCATTTTTAAATATTTCTGTAACCAAACGGTTACCTTCTATTCACCTGCTTTAGAGCAGCCACAACAGAAGAGTCTGGTGTGAAAATCTGGGATTTGGTCTGTCTCACAAAGGCACCTTTTGTCCGGTCAGGCAACTCACTGTTGCCTTTCCCTGGGTGCTTATTTACCTTAAGAGCTGCAAGGCTGTAGAAAGTAGCAAGTTTTGTCCACAAAGAATTAACAAAACCAGAATATACTCCTTGATAAGATACTGCAGTATGTGCATGGCCTTCCATCTTCAACAGGACTAACTTCTCTTGCAAGAATAAGGAGGGTTTGTTTTGTTTTAAATGCAGGTCTATATTT